GGGGGGTAGAGGTACGGGTTAGGGTTAGGATAGGAGCTGTGGGGGGGTAGAGGTACGGGTTAGGGTTAGGATAGGAGCTGTGGGGGGGTAGAGGTACGGGTTAGGATTAGGATAGGAGCTGTGGGGGGTATAGCGGTACGGGTTAGGGTTAGGATAGGAGAGTCATGGATGTCTTGTCACGTTTCCTGTTTTGTTTTGTAGTCCTTCCTGTCTGGTCCCAGTGTTGCTTTCCTATTGGCTCTCTGTTGATTTCCTGACTCCGCCCTAATAACCTCCACCTGTGTCTCATTGTTTCCTTCCCTGTCTGGTGTAAATATTCCCCCGTCTGTCTCTTTTTCGTTGCCTGTTCGTACTTGTCTTTTCCTAGCCTCGTCTTGCCTCGTATTCATGACCTTTGCCCTTTGCCTACCAGTTCTTTACTACCATTTTTGTACCTTTGCCTGATCATTGTTGCTTGCCCGTGTACCGACCATTTTCCGATTAAACCACTGTGATTCTCATTCCCTTGCCTGGAGTTGTGCGTTTGGGTCCTGGTGATAGTTTGGATGATGGGAGGAACCCACTCAGATACCCGTGGAGCACACAGACTCCTCCCAGGAATGCCCGGTTGATAGATCCTTCCTATTCACAGGTCTCAGACTCCAACCTGCACACCTGTATGGGATTGGCCATCCCAACTAATTAGACCTACGAGCTTTGAGGGTCTTCCAGGCTCTTCGGGGGGGATCAACCTTGGCTCTGTTTATGTTAGCTGGCAGATTGTGCTACTGAATGGGCCATAGACAATGTTTACAGACAATGTGGGAAAGACAAAAACTAGCAACTCCACAGATATAATCTCAGAAATACAGTGATATCACGCAGTCAGAGCCCAGATCTGAAGTGGACTAAAATAAGGCGAAGGGATCTGAAACAGGGGGTGCTGCAAGCTAGTTAAACATCAGACTAACCCAGTTCAAGTGTCCAGTGAATAAGAAACGTCACCGTCCTCTGAGCTCTCATCCAGAATCCTCCCAGTACCAATCACCCTTTGACCTCACGTTGAAAGCTTTGATCTGGGCGTAACTATTTCTTCTTACAACGGAAACCCCGCACGTTTCACAAGATCCAACCTCTTCACACAGGTTTAAAGTGTTTAATACTTTTTCCCTGTGACCCTCAAATCCATTTTACTTCCCACCGTTTGAAAAATGTGTCAGCTAACCGTCTGAGCATGTTTAAATAAGCCACTCGGATTTATTCCACCAGTGGACAGCGTTTGATGATCAAATATAATCTGCCTTTTTTTGCTTGTAACGGTGTTGTTTGGTGTGTTTTCTGATTTAAGTGCTGCTGTATTTTATGTCCCAGTGCTGAAAAACGTGTCAGTTAACCGTCTGAGCATGTTTAAATAAGCGACTCGGAGTTATTCCACCAGTGGACAGCGCTTAATCATTTTTAAAAATCCGTCTTTTTTGCTTGTAAAGGTGTTGTTTGGTGTGTTTTCTTATTTAAATCCTACTGTAGGAGGACAGATACATCAGTGTTTCCCAACCCTGGTCTTTAAGGTACACTGCCCATCATGTTTTCTAGGTTTCCTTGCACCAGAAACACCTGATTCTGATAAATGGAATGACTTTTCAGCTATGGGGTTAGGGTTAGTCCCACTCATTAGAATCCGGTGTGCTAAGGACCAGGGTTGGGAAACACTGAGATACGTGCACCGTGCTGGTGGCTGTCTTCCTGGTGTTTGGCTTAATGTGTGCAGATACGGAGAGTCCAGTTCCACCTACGTCGCTCCCGGAGCGCCGGGCTCTCCGCTGGTGCCCGGAGCCCCCGCTGGCCAGGGCCTGCTTCCCGCACTGGGTGCCCGTGGTCACCATCCTCTTCTCTTTCAGTCCGGCCTCCAAGGCTTTACCTGCACACAAGAGGAAGAAAGGTGTGAAGCATGTGGCATGTGGCTCTTTCTGACAAAACGAGAGGTGGAGGGATGATGATGATGATGATGCCTCGTTTTGGTTTGGATGGTTTTGGTTTTGGTTCTGGCTCAGACCCAAACAGGTGGGGCTTTGGATGTCTGTGTTTTTCTGCTCATCCACTCACTGTTGGGGACAGAAACGGGGCTTTCCACGTCCGTGTTGGTGAGCCACGTCGACTCCGTCTCCCTGGTCCAGCTTTCGTGGTACCTGGGCTCGATAATCGCGTCCGCCCGACTCCCCCCGCAACCCATCGAGAAAATCATCCACGGCAGGTGTCGCTGAAAGCTGGCGCGAGCTTTGAAAAAAAAACAAACAAAAACAAAGAAAACAAACAAATAAAAATGCCCGGGGGCTCGTCTCAGCGGCTCTCCGCCGCCGTCCGAGCCTCCATCACCGGCCGGTGGTCAGATGCTGACCAGCATCAGAGCATCAACACGCCGGATCTGCGTGCGTCATCCCGGGGAGGATGACGCTGCGCGCTGATTGGCTGAGAGCGGAAAACCGTCTCCGTGCCACCGTGCGCAGCATCACTGCCTCCAACGTCGTCTCAGTCGTGTAAATAAGCCCCAAAATCAAAATTATTCACGTTTTTCAAACCGTTTCTGCTCGTTGACGTTTCCAGTTCAGACCTTTTTATTTTATTTTTTAATTCATTTTTTACATTTTTTTTATTTCTTTAATCAGGACAGTGCACATTAATGAACAATCTCACACAGATTGTAAATGAGCCAGATTATAGCATAGTTGCTAGTTTACATCTGTCGTCCTGAGGCAGGAAGACCAAACAACACAAAATCACAAAATACAAAATCAGTCCAAACACACGTTCAGACAATGACATTACAAAATTAAAATTATTTCAATTCAATTCAATTTTATTTATATAGCGCCACATCACAACAACAGTTGTCTCACAGCGCTTTCCAAACAGAGCAGGTCAGACCCTACTCTGAAGTTAATTACAGAAACCCAACAATTCCCACCATGAGCAAGCACTAGGCGACACAGGCAAGGAAAAACTTTCTTTTAACAGGCAGAAACCTGGAGCAGAACCATGGCTCAGGGTGGGCGGCCGTGTCAGATAAGAGTCCACCAGAGCCTGACTTAAATTGATGATTTGCAGTAATTGATACGTCACTTTGCTTTAAGTTAAAAGCCCCAAATCAAGGTTTGAAAATGACTTAGTTTTAATGACACAACTCTTTCTTTCTCTTTATTAACTGCAAGATCTCTGATGCTGAGCCCTTTAATCAAAATTATTCACGTTTTCAAACCGTTTCTGCTCGTTGACGTGTCAGATAAGAGTCCACGAGAGAATGACTTTATTGATGCTTTACAGTAATTGATACGTCACTTTGCTTTAAGTTAAAAGCCCCAAATCAAGGTTTGAAAATTACTTGGTTTTAATGACACAACTCTTTCTTTGTCTTTATTAACTGCACGATCCTTGATGCTGTTCCTGTGAATCCTGTGTGTAAATATATGATAGTAAGTTATCTATCTGTGTCTCTTTCTTTCTCTCTCTCTCTCTCTATCATTTATCTATCTATCTATCTATCTATCTATCTATCTATCTATATCCATATATATGTATTGAGATTGAGAATTTAAAAACGATTGATCAAAATCAGTTAAATGTAAGTGTTTGTGCTCTTTATAGATATTTTTAATGACCTCAATAACATGTCTTCTATACTATCAATCTGAGGCCAATGAATAAAAGACACAAAAAATCATCACAGACTTGAAGGCTTTACCTTTAATGAAATATTTAAAAATGTCCAGGAAAGCCACCTTCTTTCGAAATCACTTGAAATGTACATAGTCTTATGTGTTAGATAAATAAATAAGATAAATATACTGACTTGGCAAACTAAAGTTTGTTTGGTGAGACTGAACCATTTTAAACCTTATCTTACAACAGGTTTGATGTTGTATCAGGATAAGAAAACCTATTCTGTGGCTAAGTGAGATGAGAACGAGTTATTTTCACACAGATAACAGGATTTGTTCACATTTATTTTAAATATATGTTTCAACTTTCATTCATACCAACAATACAGTATTTGCACGTGTACTTATAGTGATGGTTGTTCGACAGCGTCGTGGGAATCAGAAGAGCAGAACCTGCACACATATTGCTTCTCTGCACTGTGAAATAAATGAGCAGCTCAGAGTTTGACAGATTTACAGACAAATTAAACACCGGCTGACATCTACTTGTAAACAGGCGTTCCCTACATGGTACTAAAAACACATCACTTTCAAAACCTGAACAAACAGAAACATGTTCACTGATTTTAGAGTTTTAAAATAAATACTATATTCAACATACATTTATTTCCCCCCCCGATTTCTCCCACATGCGTATCCACATTTTTAGTTTGATTAAAGTAGGATGAGGAGGGATGTGCCTGTAAAAAGACAGAGGGATGAGGGAATGTCAAGAAGGAACAAACACAAAATAACAAAAACCAAGGCCCATATTCAAGTATGTCGGAGCACAGCTGATGGGAGGTTGCCTTAAAAATGTTACATAATCTTGCTAAGTGCCATTCAGCACTGCTCCAAACATCTTTATCAGTGGACTCAGGAATGTCCCAGAAATTTTACAATACGTAGGGGGGGAAAAACCGATGAAAACAGGGGGAAAAGGGGAAGAATGTGGACAGAGTGGGAATAAATTAAAGCCTTTGAATGTGAACATGTCACACATTAAGACTACAGCACATGATGATGATGACGACGATGATGATGGCAAAGTTTTTAAACTTTGAAATCCAGCAGGTTGCAGTCGATCTTGTAGTAAACGTAGGGGTAGTACTCCTGCTGGCTCAGGTTCAGCCCCGGGATGTCCATGGAGGCCTGGAAAAACACAGATCACACATGCTCTACACTTGTATTTCATAACCCTTTAAAGCCTGATCCAAGGAAAATAGGAAGAATATTGGATTTTTTTTGGTCTGAAGTCTTTCTTTGGCCCCTCAACAACATATGAAGAAAAAAAGAAAATAAATTATTTTGATCAAATTAGCGTGCAATAAGTAAAAAATATGTTTTGGTGTAGTCTTCTACTGGTTGTTATCAGGTATATCTGAATGTGTACAACAGGGGTTTGAGCAAAGCTTTTACCACTGAATGATGCAAAAAGTCTCAGATCCAAAAGACTTCAGAAACAGTATCAAATATGATAGATATGGCATTATAGGAATAAAGACAGTTTTTCCTATTAAATGGACCATAGAAGTTGTAAATTCAGAATTCATGACCCAGATTACACCTTCGACTAGCCATTTCTGTGAGTGTGGTCAAATCTAAGGATGGTCATTTATCTATATTCAGCATCTAAAGGAGCTGGACTAGAAAAAAAGGGGGCAGGGAGATTATTAGCTAAAGCTAGACAATTGAATCTTATTTCCATGATCTGTTGTTCAAACAACAGCCGATAATGAAACCTACATCGATGATGGCCGCACTGCTGTCCAGATGTTTGTAGAGGTCGTACAGAACCTCTCTGAGCTTCTTCATGTTCTTCTTGTTGGGCTGCAGCAGCATGGCCTGGAAGTTGACCGGCAGCCCATACCTAAGAAATGCGAGGGGGGCCTAAAATGAGTCCAACATCTTAACACAAAGGGGCGTGTGCACATGTGATATGGTCTCACCTCAGCACGGACTCCACAAACACACGCAGAGCTTTTATGTGAATCCAGGCGATGAAAGCCTCACTGAAATTCACCTTCAGCCATCGGACCAGAGGACCCTGAAACAGCACACACACACACACACACACACACATCAGACGCTTTTCATTAAAAAAAACATCAGCTACTGACAACATCTTCTCAACTCATTGGCTTCCAAAGACGTCTATAGACGTCTTTTATGTTTTTCAACGAGAGTGGCTTGGGGGACGATCTGCTAAAGCTTGTCCGTAAATATCAGGCTTCTAGACAGAGTATGTAGTAACAAATTGACCCTCTAGGTAGCAGTGCCACTTTTGATGGTTCGTAATGGTTCGCTATGAGAGAACATGGCACCGGTGAGACGCAAGTCCAGGAAGAACGGAATAAGGTAGAAACACATTTTTTTTCCTGATGAAAGAAGAGAGTCTACTCTTTCTTTTGGTGTGTTCGGTGTTTACATAGTCATAGCACAAACTATTCTGTGGCTCTTGAAAAATCAGTCAAAATGCTGAAAAAACTCTGGCAGTATGGGACTCTCTGTTCTGAAAATGGCTGGCAGTCAATGAGTTAACATCTGCCGTTAAATCTGTCTTTGCTTCCGTGTGTGTTTAACCGCTGCCGGTAAGGGAAAAAAGCAGCCGTACAAACTGTTTCTTCTTGTCAGTGGACAGACGCGTCATCTCCTCTTTGTCGGCCTTCATCTCTTCCTCGTTGTACTGGAAGTCACGCACTGTAAACCTGGACCAGGACACAGCACAGACAGATGCCGATCAATAGACAGCACGCACACACACACACACACACACACACACACACACACACAGACAGACACACACACTGGAGCTCCATCACACACTTCCTATAAATACCCTCGATATGGCAAACAGGCTGAGCCCCCTCTGTTGTCCTAATTCGAGGGGACTGTTGATGGTCGACTAAATTAGCTCTATTGTCCAAATTCAGCTGTCAAAAACGCTGTTTATCTAACAACCGTGGACAGATTCACGAAGGACATTCGTCTTATACCTCCTAAACCAAACTGAATCGAATACAACACAGTTCAAGGGCTAACAAGTGAAATACAATTCCAAACCGTCTCCTTCTCAAAAGCCAAAGAATCGGGAAACGGCTAACGGTCAGAGGAACCGAAACGACTCACTTGTTTTCTCTGGCCTTGTGCTTGAAGTCGTCCACAGCCTTCCTGAAGAGGGTGACGCTGAACAAACCGCTGTCGTGGTCCTCAAACAGCAGCCTGGGAGGGAAAAGAGGTGTCAGCCAAGCAGGGAAGCTGTATGTCTGCTGTGTTCAGATCAAAAGGAAAATAAATAGACATTTGACTGGCTTTTGCCCCTTGTTTGCATGTCCACATTTAAAAATTCATGAGCAAAAAGAATAAAAGCAAGATCTATTGTTGGTGCCCAGTTCTTAATCTGCAGAATGATTTCAGTGGTTAGACTATTTAACGTCAGCATATCTTTGTTTGCTTAATCAGATGTCTGAAGGAATTAAAAGATCAGAAGCTACATTTTTTGGGGCCATAAATGTGGATCAGTCCTTGTAATTAGATGTTTCTGGTAGGATTGAGGCATTTTCACCATGTTTTTCTTTCTCGGCTGAGTGTGAACTACATTTTTTTTTGTGTATGTCATCAAAAACAGCGAGAACAGTGAGGCATAAATCTAACCTAAATACCATACCAAAACTGTGGAAACATTCCCTCTTCAAATGAAACAAAACATGAATCTTACTGCAGAAATACACACATCTTACTTCACAACGAGCATGGATCTGTGTGCACTGTTCAATTTGTTGTCATTATCCTTAAGATGAAGTCAGTGAGTGCTGATCAAACACTGAACC